ACACACACACACACACACACACACACACACACACACACACACACACAATGTAACATTAAAATAAACTACATTATATTATGTTACATTACATTGTGTTTCATCATTTAACACTATATTTCAATATGTTTCTCTTCATTACTTTATGTAACAATCATTTGGTAACTACGGTCATTAGGGTGCACTGAAGCCGGAAGTTGGACCTGAACATCGTGTTGTTTCACAGTGAACCAGCAGGTGGCGCTGGACACTAACATGAGCTGACAGGTGAGGTTCACCCAGCAGCCAATAGGATTCCTTCATGTTCAACCTGCAGGAGAACAAGGAGACGATTGTTGTCAGCAGGATGAGAGAGGTCTCACTCTGGCTGTTTATTCAGAGCTCCTCATCACAGAATGTTCGTACGGCAACATTTACAGTTTTAATCGTGAAAGGTCCGTTTCACCCCTAATGATCTGTGGGCTCGATTATATTTAGTTCATCTAAACTACCTTAAAATCATGGTTCATGTTAATATGTTCATGAAAAGTGTTTATCTCGATTACACATCAATTATAAATGTATTTCTTCTGATATTGATAAATGTATTAAAGTTAAAAACGCAGGGTTCACAAAACAGACTGATGAGTAATGAAGTTAAAATATACGTTTTAAATTTGCATATCTGTATATGTGGAGGAGTATTTCATTAGTTCAGGGTTTAAAAACCCATGATATAACCCTGATAAATAAAACAGTTTGCTCCATTAACTTTTCTGAAAATAGTGAGATTTATTATATATATTTAGATAGAAATTCACAACTATTGTACTATATTATGGTATATAAAGTAAAAGGAAATGAAATAGAATGTTGTGTATTAAAGTTTAGTGACAGAGTGATGCCTCCTGTCAGATGCTCTTATCTCCGCAGCAGTAGTTCCTTCACTTCCTGAACACCTCGTCTCCTCCACACTAGTGTTTTCATCCCGGTGTTTGTGCTGCTTCCTCTGACCTCAGCTCCTCCGGCTTGATATCTGTCTGTCTGCCGCTTCTTTAACCTGAACAACAACAAACAACCCTGGAGGTCGGTGCTCCGGTCCGGGTCCCGAGGAGCTAGCTTTAGGAGGCTACTGGAGCGTTTGACGTTAGCCGAGCGAGGCATCTGGACAGCGGGCAGAGGGAGCGCAGCATGGCCGCGGGGAGCGACAGCCAGGCGGCGGAGGAGAAGAGGACGAGCGGGAGTCAGAGTGAAGGTACCGGGGAGGGAGAACCGGGGGATGGGTTAACTACACACGGCCCGCACGGCTCTAAAACTCGGGCTAGCTGGTACCTGATGGGAGGACTGGTGTGATGAAATAACACTCCATAGTTAGTTTATTTAAATGCATTAAAAGTCATAAACACAAAGTTTCGCCGTCTGTGTCGGGTTTTATAGGTGTAGGGCGTCTAAGGCTAGTTAGCTAGCTAGCAGCTAAACTCACCAAACTTAGCTGACTTATTGAGGGCTAGTATTTATAAAAGTTAACCATTAAAGTTAATTAGTATGCTAATAAACTAATGCCGACACTATTTAGCTTTATCCCAGATGTTTAATGAATAAAGATAGTGTCGTAGTTTTAATTTAAATTGACTAATCATGCTAGCTGAGCTAGAGGCTAACGTCCAAGGCTAGGCTAACGTCTCTGTTTACTAGTCTAAAACTAGATTGTGTTGCTGCTAACTGACCTGTCAGTGTTAGTTAATGTGGTTACTGTACTTTGTGGAGGCTAATGCTAACAGCTAATGCTAACAGCCGTATTAAAGGTGAGTTTAACCTCCAGGTCTGTTGATGAGTGGCAGGAATGCTGACGTGGAGGTGTGGTTACTGAGGTCACAATGCACACACAGGTGTAATCACAGTTAAAGTATTGATTGATGAGTCACATGTTTTACTTTTATATCTGTTTTTGGATTAAAATAACTATATTGCATTCATGTGAATGTCTAATTGTTGCTATGTACTATGTACCTCTGAGGTGTAGTACAGTATAAAGTACTACATGTACCTCTGAGGTGTAGTACAGTATAAAGGCTCTGTGCGGCGCCATGTATTCTCTCGGTGGCAGAGAGAACGTCCCTGTTCTCCTCCAATGAGAGCAGTGGTTTGTTTGGGGGGGGGAATTAAAACACTGTAATGTGAAACTCTTCAGAGTGGGGGACATGAATCAGGATGAAACCTTTGCGTGCTATAGAGAACGCCTGACTCTGTGTTTCAGAGCCACATGGTCAGATTCCAACAACACAATTAAATTCAGAGAGCTTTTTACATCATTTATCATCATTTCATTCAGTCACCTGAGGCGGATCATTCCTGAGGGTCGGGTTATATAATTTAAGAAAAAACATAATCATATTCTTGGTTATTTAATTATGACGTCACAATTTCAAAACGTACAGATGCAAATAATTCATAAATAAGACGATCGCATTCTGCCGTAGAAATGGATCCTGATCTTATAAACAGAACACCTTGGGCTCTGGTAGGTGTGACAGGTGTGACCTGTGTCCCCACAGTCCACAGGAGGCTGAAGTACATCAGTCTGGCCGTGCTGGTGGTCCAGAACGCGTCGCTCATCCTCAGCATCCGATACGTCCGCACGTTGCCGGGCGACCGCTTCTTCACGACGTCGGCCGTTGTCATGGCGGAGGTCCTGAAGGTCTTGACCTGTCTGTTCATCATCCTGCTGCAGAAAAAATGTGAGTTAAATATCACTATTATATCACAATAATATCACTAATATCAGTTAAATATCACTAATATCAGTTAAATATCACTATAATATCAGTTAAATATCACTATAAT